GAATATTGTGGGAGATGCGCTAACTGTGCCAATTCATTTTCTTATCTTTCTCTCCCTTTATTACTCTACTTCTTTCTCTTCTTCGGTAGATCCAGATCAGAAACATCCGTCTTCCATATGAACTCCAGTTCTTGCAGGATGGCCGCGCCGGCCGTCGCCGCCACATCGGCCAGCGCTGATGCCTCCATGACCTCCACATCGTTGAGCTACAAGCATGACATGCCGAAAAAGCTGCCACCTTTCTTCTCTCTGTGTGCCATTCTTCTCGGCCTAGGCCTAGAGGGGTGGCGCATCTCCGACAGTGCTCCGGTGGCAGCTGCCATGGAGGAGAGGTGAAGATGACAGTTGAGGTGGGTCCCAGCAGTCTATTAGGGGAGATACAACTCTTCCTTTATTTGAGTGGATATGAGAGGGATATTGGTGACCACAATAAAATAGGCTTATTGGGGGACTGCTGTAGCATGAAAAATGACGCATCTCCACAATGACAATTTTATAGGATTAAGGGATAGGATTGGAGAACTGTTGCAGATTCGCCTCGTAGCACACACGCCCCATGTTGAGTGGGCCCCACCATGTTTCTTCGCTCTTCTCTCAACTCACTTATGGTTCCCATTCGTGTTCTGTTTCCTTGCCCACATGGACACCTATGTAGATGAAAAGGTCAACCAGGGAACGACTTGTCATCCTGCACAGTGCAGACGGAGTACCGCCGATGTAGTGGGTGGGGCTCATCCTTTGGCATGGGGCCACCAGTTTGGTCATGTTAGAGCCCGTCTCCCGAGGCTGCGCATCAATATGGGCGACATGGAGGTGGAAGCATGGCAAGCAACAAGGCAGATGTGAGGTAGAGGGTGGCGAGTGGGCCCGGATCCTTTTGTGATACTTGCAAGAGGAGGCAAGGGAGTGGTGGATAGGTGCGCAGGCCAGAGACTGGCTCAGTGAGGGAGAGATGGGGAGATGATAGGTTGTGGCTAGTAAGGAAGAAGGAGATGGCTTGATGAGGCACAGGATGAAGGATGGATTAAAAAAGATAGGCAAAAGAGAGAAGTGAGTTTTGTGGGGATGAAACTCTCTTGACACGATTACCAACTCTCTATGAGTTATGAAACTAAATGTCTGTAAAACCATAGAATGAAACTTTCTATTGAAAGTGGGTATTTCATGCATGTCTCATTTCTTTCTATATAAGATAGTAGTCTTGAAAACAACGCCACGAAACTTCTCATTAAGACTAGTTTTATAAAGAGTAAACTTACTTTAACAATAGTTGCTTTTGTATTGGCTAATATATAGTAATTGTGACTGAATGTGGCCTGGTCGGGCGAATGAAACCGACGAGAGCCCCCGCCCAAACTGTGCGTCTCCGATCTTGCTGGAGCAAGGGCTCTGTCGAGCTTACTCCTTGAGGGATTATCATCATTGTGATAATTATTAAACAAGGAACACACACATATACTACAACCACTACCAAAAAGTGTGACTTTACCGTGTGCCACAGCCACTCGGCAAAGATCAAAAAACACTTGGCAAAGGCTTTGCTGAGTGTAACACTCGGCAAACAGCACACGGTGTCGGCATCTACAAGATGGATACGAGCGTGGAGGAGCTGCGCCCGGAGATGGGCACAATCTGCAAAGTGGACGCGTCCGTGGAGGATTTGCGCTCAGAGATGATGGCACTACGCAAGTCGGTGAGCCGAGTGGTGCTCAACTCCGGGACGGCCGCGACAGCTAGCATCCTACCGCCTCCATTGATGACCGCGGCAACTTCATCTGCCGTTACCCGGTTATTAGCCGTATGGGCACCGCGTCGACAACAGTCACCGGGGGTCTGGGTCACTGACTCAACCTCCGGTCAAGGGTATTTTCGATCCTCCCAAACCCCAACCCATTCATCCCCTTCCCAATTTTGGGTTACACCGTTTGTTCTCGATTTCGGGGTCAGAGTCGGGGGTTTGTATCGAGGGCGATCTAGGGGGAACATTCCGGGATCCTTATCGTCTGCACTGGAGTCCCCATTATGCGAGCAGTAAGCTGCCGAAAATGAACTTCCCGGGGTTCGACAGGGAGAATCTGAAGATGTGGATCACCTGTTGTGAGGACTGCTTTGAGATGTATTCTGTCCAGCCTCATGTCTAGATCAGAGTGGCGACTATGCACCTTTCCTCCGCCACTGCCCGCAGGTTGCAGTCAGTCGAAATGCAAGTGCGTGCACCTTCATGGCGTGAGTTCTGTCAGATGGTTTTGGAGTGCTTTGGGAAGGGTCAGCATGAACTTCTAATTCGCCAACTGTTTCACATCCGTCAAATGGGTTCGGTCCAAGAGTACATTGATAGACTCTCTTCTCTTGTTGATCACCTGATCGCCTATGATCGTAATAACGATCCATTGTTTTATGCTATGCGGTTCGTGGATGGATTGAAGGACGAATTTGTTCTGCTATTCATATGCAGCGCCCTGCTACACCTTCGATACTGCTTCGGTTTATGCTTTATTGCAGGAGCGAGGAGTCGGCGGATTCCACTCATAAGAAGGATATCAGGCGCTCTGATGGCTTTAGCTTCTCCAGGCCTCTGCTTCACGGCCCCTAGCCCCTTACTAAATCTTCACCCTGTATCAACGCTCCAAATGTGTTGCATTGCAATAGACCCAAAATGGTTGCAATAATGCCAATCGCAACATGACTTTGGCGTTGCGAGGCATTGCAAGTGCAACCGTGGGTATAGCATTGGACAACGTTTTGCTGGGCGGTTTTGCAAATACTTTTGGCAATTGCAACACCTGGCCATTGCAGTCTTAAGGTTTTGCTAATGTTGTATGTGTAGCAACAACAAGTACTGCAATGCTTGGGCGTTACTGGACCTTGCAATGATAAAATGCCCATGTCATAGCAAATGGTGCGCTAGCAACGAAGAATGTGTGTTGCAAGACAATGTATTGCCATGCATATCGAGTGTGGCAACAGGACTTATGTCGCAACACCAAGAAATGGTGGCATGATGTGCAATTGCCATGCCCAAGGTTTGGTTCCTATAAGGTGCAGCCGCTATTGTTATGCACAATGGGTGTGGCAACAGGAGTTATGTCACAATACCAAGAAGTGCACATGTTGCCACAAGCTTTCGTTGCGATACGGTGCATCCTTTATTGCTACGCATGACGAGTGTGGCAACAAGGGCAACACCAAGAAGTGATGGCAATTGCCACGTTCAATGTTGCATTGCTATAAGACGCAACCTCTATTGCTACGAGGATTGTTCGTTGCTATACGATATATTGCCACAGAAAATGTGGAGCTGCTTTAACAACGCTTTTGGTTTGGTCCCAACAGGCAATATTGTAGCACCATTAATAATTAGAAACTCAATAGACATCAACAAAGCATTTGAATAAAACCATTAAACCAAAATATTGACTTGTTTAATTTGTTCACATCTGTAATTTTTGAAACAAATTTACATCTGGAATTAAATGATCCAATTTCAAACTCAGGCTACACACAATATTGAAACAAAGTGTTGTCGATCAAAACTGACCCGGAAGCATGGAATGACTTTTGGGCAATGTTTATAATAACATAAATATAGCAATGAAAATTTATATGGAAAGTTGTATCAAAACTCATAGGAGAATAGAAGGAAAAGATGGTGCCATTCTCTGTCAAACCGGCCTGGCCGGCCTCCCTAACCAGCCAGGCCGGCTCCCTGCGCTGCTGGCATGCTGCTGCTGCTATGCCTTGCCTGTTGATCAGCTAGGCTGGCTGGCTGCTGGGCCGGCCAAGCCGCTGGCAGGCTGCATGTGGAGCTCACTATGGTAGTATGTGTGTCCTCACCATGGTACAAACTATTGGCTTATGTGGAGCTCAAGGTAGGGATAGCAGAGGCATACCATCGTCATGTACATTGTCAAACGCTACAAGTTTGGTATAGGATGTGTCTCCATCAGAGATTGTTTGAAAAATTAAAAAAAATATATAAAAATATGTGAATTAGACAAATATTTGAGACACAAAATAACTTAAATAAAAAACTTATCAACACCAAATATGTAGATCAGGTCGGCCACTACAACTTGTGTATTAATTATGTGAACATTCAAGGTTGTTTATGAATTGTAAATTTTATATTTCAAAATCTATGAACTTAGAACACATATTTGAGAATCTAAACGAATTTACATAAGAAACTTTTCAACTCCAAAGCTACATATTGTACTAAGAACAACAACTTTCCTATAGACCATGTCAACATCTCAGGTTGTTTAAAAAAAATAATTTCAAAATTCATGAATTTAAAACAATATTTTAGGACTCTAAACAATTAAACTAAAAAACTTCTCAACTAAAAAGTTGTAGATTTTATCGAGAGCTACTATTTTGATATAAAGTTTATCTTTGTCCAAATTTATATAGAAAAGTTATGAATTATTTTTGGTGACACTATTTTGAGAGGTGGGTAGCTTGAGGCGTCTGTATTTAAAAATCGATTGTTAGAGACGGATAGAATGTCAGTCTCTATTAATATCTATTTTCACAAACATAACATCTTAAGATGATCGCCTTAGAACCTCTATCTTTATAAGTAATTTTCAGATGCGGGTATTTACCTTGCTAGAGGCTGCCTGGCTATTTATGTAGACCTCCTAAAATGATTTTTGTGGCAGGGAACTTCTCTAACTTTAACCATGTATTTTTTTTTGAAAAAGTATATTAACATCTACAAGTTGAAACAGATACATCATCATGACATATTTTCGTGGACAATTTAATGAAATTATTTTATCTTGTAAATGTTAGTGTGTTTTTGTATGAACATGAATAAAGTTTGAGCAATTTAACTTAGCATAAAGGTAAACTGTGTTATAATTCGAAACGGAAGAAGTAATACATAGAGGTATGTAATCTCCAGACTCCAGCAAGTGCATGGAAAACTGAAGAAACATATTCATCGGAAACTGATCGAAATTGTGCAAGTGAGTGTCCACATTCGCAGGGAAATCTCACTCGTCCTGGAACATATTCATTAGAGACTCCCCTGCGCTTTGAGCAAGACCTCCCACAGCGGCTACATCAGCGGCTAGAGCAAGACCTCCCACAAATTTGCCCAGCGACGACTCCTTTTCCATGCTGCTGCTGCTGGTGGTGGCGGCGGCGGTGATGGTGGTGGTGGTGGAGGGCCTGGCGCCGTGCAGGCACTCGATGTGAAGGTCAAAGTTGCACAGCCCGCAGCGGTAGACCCAAACGAAACAGGGCTCGCGACATGCCGCGCATGCTCCCACGTTGGGCAAGGCCGTCAGGCTGTGATCCGGGTGCAGGTTGCTGCTCGCGGTCTGCGGCAGGCGCGAGCACCGCGGGTGCACGCCGAACCCGCACGGAGCGCAGTGGTACAGGAAGACGCCAGCGGGGACTTCCTCGCGGCACAGGTCGCAGACGCGCCGGCCGTCATCGTCGGTGCGGGCGAGGGTGAGGTCGTGCCACGGGTGCGCGAAGAAGGAGCTCAGGGTCTCCGGGTACTTGGCGCACTCCTCGTGCAGGTCGAAACCGCAGAGGCGGTGGTGGCAGCTGTAGCCGCTGCCGGTGAGCTTCTCCCCGCATAGGTCACAGAGGCGCGGCAGGTGGTACTTCGTCCTCAGCTTGAGCTCGTGTTGGGGATGGGAGAAATGGGCTACCGGCATGGCCATGGCGTGGATTCGTTCGGATTCTCGGACTGTCACTCGCTCGGTTAGTTTTTTTTACTGTAGTAGTAGTTTAGTAGCTGCTTTTTCTCAAGTGAGCGGTCGTGAACGTTTATGATGATGATGCGTGTCTATATATACACGGAGAACTAGTAGCAAATTAAGCTGCCTGTTCCGGACGAGGTTATTATATAAATGTGTGATTATTTCTCTTCTTTTTTTTTTGCTACATATACTTGGGTCACCGGGTCCTTAAGAAAATATATATCTTTGGCGGTCGGTATAAACATCTCGGTGGTCATCGACCCTCAAGAAAATATATATCTTTGGTAGTTCGTACATATACCTTGGGGTCATCGGTACTTAAGAAAAAATATATATATTCTTGGAGGTGCTACATTTCCTTGACGCTATTCAAAATGTGATATCGTCTTTATTTTCTTGGCTGTCAAACCTTTAAAAAAGGAAAAAAATGCTCCTGGACACTGAAAGTGACCTCCCCTTGCCGGTGGACATTGAAAATGGAGCAACTTGGTGGACACTTTGATTCTTTTCAAATTTGCCGGTGGACACCGCGCCTAATAAAATATTAATTTCTTGCTTTGGAGGAGAGAGAAGAGTGGTGAAATGTTATTCTTGCTCCTGCCTCTTTCTTTTTCCTCTCTCGCTTTCTTTTTTTCCTGTGTCGGCGAGGCAGGTCGGTGCATGGCGCGGGCTTGCCGGCGGAGCGAGGTGTCCCTTTCTATTGTCCTTCGCCGTCGCTGTCGAGGCCCATGAGAGGGGCGTGCGGCCAGCTGGGCGAGGAAGAGCGCGGGGTGCGAGCGGCTAGGGAATCTCGCGTGCGGGTCTGTCTGCGGTGGTGGTGGTGCTCGCCGTCGTGATGGGGGTGAGGCTGGTTGCGGTGGGGGCTGGTCTCGCCGGCCATGGTGGGGGAGGTTGCAGGGACGGCGGGGAGGACTCGCGGGGCGTGTGTGGCTCGATTGGATGTGACCGTCCATGGCGGGCTGGTGTCGGGGCAGGGGTCGCGCGACCGGCTGGAGCTCATCGGAGCTCACAGCTGGAGCTGGAGCGGCCTTGGCGGGTAGGCACGTGCTGCACGCCACCGCCACCCACGCGGCGCCGGAGGTCCGCCCCTGCCCCCGACGGCTCCGCCCACAACCGGAGACGCCGGCTGACCCTGCCCACGAGGGCGTGCGCTCCCCGGCTTCTGCCGCTGACACGTCCCAGACAGTAGCAGACCATCCTTTGCCAGCAAGCCCGCGCCGTTCGCCGACCAGCCTCGTCGACACAGGAAATAAAAAGAAAGGAAGAGAGGAAGAAGAAAGTGGCAGGGGCAAGAATGACATTTCGCCACCCTTCTCTCTACTCAAAAGCCCGAAATTATTATTTTATTGAACGCAGTGTCCACCAGTAAATTTGACAAGAAGCAATAAGAAGCAATGTGCTCATCAGCAAATCGCTTCATTTTTAGTGTACCAGCACAGGTAGGTCACTTTCAGCAAATTTTGCCTTAAAAAATGATTTGTGATGGTCAACCCTCGAGGTAATTTGAATTTTCCTTGTTCTCTACCCTTTGGTGGCCATCCTTGAGGGTTGGCCACCAAGAATAATTTTCTTGACGAGTTTTATGGTTTTTTTGAGGTTTTTTTACTCTCTCTCAAAGATATTCTATTTTGCGGTAGTTACTTCATATGATGGACACCCATGTAATGTTCTCTACAAAGTCAAATTCATCGATCACGTGCGAACTAGTTAGTTGGATTGCTTGTGGTGGAATCTGCCCACTCGGGTTTAAGTCCTCGACTTGGCATGTGTGCTTGTATTTTCCTAAATTTATTTCATGATTTAACGGCGCTTTGCTTTAAGTGGTAGGTGACGTCCCATCGACAGCGAGACGGCTATGGTGACTTTACGCATGTTCATAAGGGTGAGTGTAGATGCGTATTTTGGGCGTCTACATCTGACAAAAAAACATCATCGATCATGTCACTGGCTCCCTGCAACACGGCATACCTATAGAAAGAACAAAAAAAAAAGACTAGCAACACGGGTCCTCTGCTAAACGACAACCCAAACGTATTTTTTTCTGGTCATGAATAAATTAAGGTGTCTTCTACATTATTGCTTATTCTTTTGTATGTATATGCCGACCGATCGGCAGCGTAGCTCATCTGTTTAAAAAAGACTAGCAATGTTATTATCTCGAAAAGGACAGTCAACTAGTAATGTTATTGTCGGATTCAAAGCGAACGGAGCCACAGCGGCAAAAATCTGGAGAGAATTAGCTGCAAGAGTATGGTCAGGCGGACTGTGGCTCGACGCGCGACGACCGGCGGGAGAAGACTTTAATTTGTCCAATTCTCGCTCGTTTAGTATTTGTCGAAAATGCAAGTCCCAAATTCGGTCTATTTAGTTTAATGAATATGATACTCCGTTGTCTTTTCAGTGCTTAATATTTTATTTGATTTACGGAATGGATAAGCTGAGTTATCACCACGAGGCGGAGCCAGAAATTATACATATAGGGAAGGGCTAACCAAAAAGATGGGATATATATGAATCGAGCGTAGCTCATCTGTTTAGGTTTTTTTTTTTTTGAAATTTGACCACCTGAGATAGTCATCGATGTAGTTTCTCTTATTTTTCTAGATTTATTTTATTATTTGATGATTTAATAATATTATTCATCTTGTGGTAGGAGACCATGTCTGTTGACAACGAGTTAGATATAGTGACACATGAATTTCGAAACCTACCAGCTGAGTATTTCGGAGTTGATTATAGTGAGGTACGATGTGTGTTTGTTCATAGGGGTGAACGCGAGTGCATATATGTAAGCGTCAGTGTCTGTACTGTGATTCAGAGTGAAAAGATAGCCCATATATATAATGGTAGTGCCGTTCAATAAGCTTGATAACGTTAACTTACTAATGACCATTGGATTGTTATTACTAGGTAAATATATGCTCAGTAAAATATAATGAAATGTAAGTACATATTTAGTAAAACATAAAATTTCATTAAATATGTCTTAATATGGTAACCAAACAAGTTTAGATGAACAGCAAGGGGTTTGAAAAAGAAGGTAAAAGGGTGTTTGTAGATTGATTTTAACGATTGGATATTTGGAAACTCACTCGAACCGTGATCCTCTCATATATATATATATATATATATATATATATATATATATATATATATATATATATATATATATATATATATATATATATATATAGGTGGTGTTATCCTAATAGAAAACAAGTTCAAATCGTAATCTCCAAGTTTCACACGTCGAAAACATACCAAAAAACGACTTTAGATCAAACCGAGTCAGTTTCAAGCGAGGAGTCGGCTTAGCCGACTTATGAGTCAGCTAAGCCGACTTTATCGGGCCCGAGAACAGGCTCTGGCCGGCCAGCAGGGGTCAGCTAAGCCAACTGGGGTGGTCGGCTAAGCCGACTTGGGGCAGGAGTCCAGGCTGGCTGGCCCACAGTCTGTTTGCTTGGTCGTAAACGATCGTAAATTTCTACCCGAAACAGTATTTTTCTCTCACACCAAATCAGCCACCAGTAAATAATCCACATCGTTTACACTCCCGAAGAGGCTGCCAATCGGCCCGAAGGCGAACACGTCCGTGACTCGGGTCGCCTTTCCCGTGCGTACCCGTTCTGAATTTCCCAGTGGATGACAATCTTCTCCCAGTCCTTGTGGCGGTACAGCAAGCCAGAGGCGAGTCATCCTTGATCGTCTGAAATCTCTGTTCGCAATCCAGGACGGTCCAAGGTAGTTAGACCGAGAGGAAATAACCAATTACTAGTATACCCTCAAGAATAAATTTAAAATTTAATAAATAATCTTCCTAAATTAAATAGTCAGTAAATAATAAAAATGAGAGTACCTGGAAGTACCATGTCACTTTTCCAACCATTGTAAAAGAGCTCCAACATTATTTGGTACAACGTCATTGTCATCTACATTTAGAACCATGGCCATAGATGATGAGAGACAACAACTACTATTCATATTATATGGCAATAGGCTTGTATGGGGAAATAACTATTCCCAAAATGGTTGATATCTGTTTCACAAGAAGAGTATATTGACATTTTATAGTCATAATATTGTATAGAAAAAATAGAAGAAATGGTTTTGTGCAGTTTCTTGCTTGGGTGTATTGGCAGAAGCTAAACAGATTTATTCACCACTCTCATCTTCGTTAATTGCAGCTAGAAGGAATGATTGTTCTCATGATCTCCTGGCAGACAACAGTGCTACCAGTGAAGGGGCGCACAGTCCACGGGGCACAGGCTCACTGCCACGCTGACGCTGCTGGGCTGCGCGGAGGCTTAAAGGATTTAAATATGTTAATGTTATTATATTATAGAATAGTTGATTAGGTTCTCTGTGGTGGAACCTGTCCACGCGGGTTCTAGTCCTCGACTTGGTATGATGCTCGTATTTTTCTAGATTTATTTCAGGTTTCAACGGTGTTATGCTTTCAGTGGCAGACGACGTCCCACGACAGTGAGACAGCTATGGTGACTTTACGCATGTTCATAAGGGTGAGTGTAGATGCGTATTTTGGGCGTCTACATCTGACAAAAAAACATCATCGATCATGTCACTGGCTCCCTGCAACACGGCATACATATAGAAAGAACAAAAAAAAAGACTAGCAACACGGGTACTCTGCTAAACGACAACCCAAACGTATTTTTCTGGTCATTAATAAATTAAGGTGTCTTCTACATTATTGCTTATTCTTTTGTATGTATATGCCGACCGATCGGCAGCGTAGCTCATCTGTTTAAAAAAGACTAGCAATGTTATTATCTCGAAAAGGACAGTCAACTAGCAATGTTATTGTCGGATTCAAAGCGAACGGAGCCACAGCGGCAAAAAACTGAAGAGGATTAGCTGCAAGAGTATGGTCAGGCGGACGGTGGCTCGACGCGCGACGACCGGCGGGAGGACTTTAATTTGTCCAATTCACGCTCGTTTAG